AGCTCTCCCCTGTGCCCCAGCCTGGGTCTGAAACCCCTCCAGCCTCTGGACACTGCCCCCTCCCCTTTAGAGTCAGATGGGGTCATGGTTCCCCTCAGCCTCTCAGGCTCACCTGAGGCCTCTAGCAGTGCCCTCTGTGTTGCAGTGGAGCACAGCCCTCTAGCCCCTGACTGGCAGATACCAGTGTCCCCCTGTTCTACATCCAGAACTGAGCATGCTTCTGTATGCACGTGGCCTCTAGCACCCCCTGCCCTGGGCGCTGAGCTGTTAGGGAAAAGCACGAGTGGCCCAAGGGTAGTCCCAAGGCCCTGCTGGCTCTGCACTCCCCTTGCCCTGGGGCAGAATGAAGGGAGCTCACAGAGGAAGCACTTTCTCTGCACTCACCTACCCAGAGACCTGGGGCTACATAGGTGAGTTAGCATAGAAGCACATGGGACTAGTAGCTTTCTCTCAGCCTGCTGCAACCTTACCCCTGCACTCTCGATGGGCGTTAAGATTCATCTGCACTGTCCATGCTGGAGTCATCACAATAACCATATACAAACCTTCATTTTGCACGTTTGGCCCATAACAACATGTCCATCCTCCTCAAGGGTCAACCTGACAGGGGGCAGACCCCCACAAAAGGTCTCTTTCCTCCAGTGCTGCACAAGGAACTTCATTAGAATATGGGGAACAGAGTTAACCCCAAAGCTACCTCTGGATCTCCTCCTGCATCCCTACAGAGCTTCTGTATAATGTTTTCCTCAGTTGCCCTCTTGCCAGGCTTCCTGGTTTCAAAAGAACAGGGAGGAGCCATCTTGGTATTCCTTGTGTCATGGCTTTTGTTGCTAAGAGGTCAGGCCACATTGTAATCTGGTGTCAATCAGGAGCTACATTGACTTACACCACCTGACTGCCTGGCCTAATAGCTCATTTGAAATGACTGTTTTTAAACATCCAAACTGCACATGTGCATGCACACATGCACAGGCACACACATGCCCATGTACACGCATACCTGAAAAAACGGCCTAGCTAGCAAGCAAACTAACCTTTATTTAATGAAGAGATCCCAAAATAATTCAACAGCCCAGCTGTCCAAAATGCTGTTTCCTTTTCTTCTTAACAAAATCAGTTTGAATAAAAAACAGAAAAAGGAAAAGAAAAATAAGCAGGAGGAAGAAACACCAGGATAAGAGGGCAAACATCAGTCCAGGCCCTAACAGCCCCAGTGCAGCAAGCAGCACCCTTTCATCACTTTTAAAATGATCATTTAAATCAGGAGTGGCCAATCCATGGCACATGTCACACGTGGCATGGGCAGCCTCTATGTGCAGCACAGTCGTACACAAGGTAGGGAACAGAAAGCAGAGCAGCAGATCGAACAGGGAAAGGGGATTGGAGTGACATTTAGGGAGGGTGTGGGGCTTACCTTGTGGTACACCTGCCAAAAAGGTTGGCCCCCACTGATTTAAATGATAACAATCCATGCTGTGATCTTCTGAGATTTAAGTGGAGCACAGCAGAGCTTAGTAAGAAGGGACTGTCCCCCTGAGACACTAGTGAGGTGCTGTCTTTACCTGGCGTTATGGGGGTTGTAAGACTGGAGGTTGTGTGTCAAAACACCAATGTAAAATCAAGATGCATGACTTCCTTGATAGACTCAGTGATACTTTGCACCTGATGATTATTTCCACCAGCATAAAAAGAGTGCAAAGATGTTCACACCCGCTTTGACCATGTCTGCAGTGCAGTGGTGAATCACTCCCACTGATCAACACTTCCTGGTCATTAAGATCTCCTTAGTGATTAATGAGAGTTGGAAAGTGTTAGACCTCATGTCCTGGCTATAGCATAGTCTAGGCTGGTTAATTCTTCTCTACTTGACTAAATTTCCTCTCTACTCAGTAAGAACTGCTTCTTTGCTTCCTGGTTTCAAGCTTTTGTGGGCTGCCTTGCTGTGCAATGTTGTTTGCTGTTTCAGAACTGCATTTTAGTAGCAAGTGATGTGATCCATATGTGTGTATACAGGTGCTTGGATCCGTATAAATATAGATATCCTTTACTTCTCTGAAAATAGGGCTTAGGTTGCCTTGGATGCATGATATTATTATTCACTGTACCCAATGGGTGAAATCCTGCCTATGTTGAAAACAACAGCAAACATGCAGTATGGGGGACAGGATTTCATCCCAGGGGTTTACTGCTTGAGGAACATGCTGGGATGATGTTTCCTACAGAGCAGAGGCCTTTGTGTATCCATTTAGGCTCCCCTCACCCTTCTAAGCATAAGAGTCTCTGCCTTGGCCTCAAGGGGCCAGCCAGAGGAACCCAGAAAGGAGTTCATACTCCATAGCCTGCTCAACCATTGGCCTCTCCATTAAGACCACTGACAAAGGTGGCCATTTGAGACCTACCAGGATCATGATTATGGTGGAAGGGATGGACTGTGGCCATTCACAAAGGCTCAGTCCTCCAACAGTAAGAATAATTTGAGCTAGACTAGAACCAGTGACTTAGAATTCCTCACCCCATCCCACTGTTCGGCCAACTTCTTGTACCCATTACCTTAAACATTTTAAGCCAGTGTCCAACCAGTGGGGATTAGAAAGTTCCTTTCCCTGGGGACAGGTCACTCCAACAATGTCTACTGCAAAAATTCTTGGCCCTTCCTCTGGAGCCACTGGTGCCACCTGTTGTCTAAATCAGGATGAACCATTGGTCTGATCCAGCCCAGCAGCTCCTATGTTTTCCCAAAAGAGACCCAAGGATGGCTGTTCTTCCTTGGTGGACCCTTGTCTCACTTCACTCTTGTTCCGTGTATTCACTGTAGAGGAAACAATCATTACTATTATGCACAGGCCACTTGAACCTCCTCACAGTGCACAAAGCTCATCCTTCAGATGCTCCACAGCTTGCTCAGCCATCACATTGCTCTCCGCCCCTCTCTGCCCTGCTCACTCCTCCCCACAGCCAAGTTACATTCTGATGGCTTGAAGTGGTCAGTAGCGGGTGACAGTGCCTCTCAGACCCACCGGGGCCTTGGGCAGCTGCATACAGGGGTTAAGAATTCCCTGGTTGAATAGCTATCAAGGACCAAGAGCCCTAGGGTTCCTTCGAAGCAGCCATTTAATTAAAGGCCAGGCCAGATACAGTTTTATCAACTGTTATGTTGCAGCATGTGTGTGGGGTGGGGGAGGAGAGAAAATAAATCTGAGTCCTTTTTCTACTTTCCAAACTTGATGCCTCTTCCCACCAGCAGCCTGAAAAGATCCCCTGTAGCCAGTGCTCCTGATAGTAGGAAGGATTGGATAGGGCTGGTCTGTGTTGGGAAAAATGGTTGACCCTTCTCATCCCCTTACTGAATTGAGTGTGAGGCAGAGACCTCAAAGGAATTATGAAAATGGCTTCTCTCTTTTTATGTCTCCACCCCAAGTCTGTGCACATGCATGTATGTGTTAAACAAACCCAAGTCCTACTGAACCCAGTCTCCCCCACTGCATCCTTTGCTCATAGTAAAACACAGCCAGAAATCCAGGGTTGGGAAGTATTGCTCCCTTCATGCCCATGTGCAGAGGGATGTGTGCTCCAGCACGTGGCCCTGAGGGCAGTGCTCCAGGGCATGGCTGGGGAATGCAACTGTCCCTGCAGCTCCCTCCTGGGTGCATGGTATTCAGAGGGAGCTTCCCGGCAGTGCTTTCCTTTACAAATGGCCTTTCAGCTTCTCCAGAAGATTACTAGGAAGGATGCTAAAATCCTAACGGCCTCCCAGAATAGCTGGCTTGCTAGGCTTCTCTGCTGGCCTGTTTCACACAGCATTTACTATAACAGATCCTTTCCTGCTCCCAGCCAAATGTATTTATTCGAAAAGCGCGCACACACTCAGCACCTCTGTCTCACTGTGCATCAACCTGCCTGCCTACCTACCTGCTGGCTGGCTGGATAGATAGGCAGATGGGGAGAGTCATGTGCTGATAGCTGTCTATCCATCTATCGCATAGATAAATACCTCACCTAATCCTGTTCAATGAGAGACCCGGGATTTTTTTAGTCCTTTCTTTGTCACTTTGTCAATATGCCACCGCATCCTCCTTTTGAAAAATGCAGCTGTTTCTATCTGGCAGCTCCTAAAGTTGTCAGCACAGGAACATCTTGTGAGATCCTTCATCCGATTGCACAAAATCTCCCATCTGATGTGCCGGCTCACTGTGGGGGGAAAAAATCTGGAGGATAGAAAGGAGGGGTGGGGTGGGGGAAAGGGCTGGCAAATCCGGCAGGTTTCGAGAATCAACTCTTGGGGTGTGTGCAGGGGCGTCTGCACATGGGGGGAGTGCCCGCCCGTGGCCCCTTGCTCACAGCCTCCCCGCTCGCTCCCTTTGCCCAGCTCCGGGGTGGTGGCTGTGGATGGGGCCTCCGGTCCAAATCGCCCTGCCTGCCCATTCAGCCTCCCAGCACTTGCCAGCCCCAGCCCATCCGAGCCCTCATTTGTTGCAATAGTAACAGCTCCCGGATCCACCCCCCTGCGTGCACACACACACACGCACGCACTCACACGCACGCACACCCCTCCCT